TTAGGAGACACGCACTACATATCAGCCATAGATCTAAAGGATGCATTTTGGCAGATTCCTTTAGAGGAATCAAGCCGGCCCAAAACAGCGCTTACAGTCCAAGGTAGACCACACTACCAATTTAAGGTGATGCCATTCGGTTTGTGCAACGCTGCACAACACCTGTGCCGACTGATGGACAAAGTTGTACCATCGGAACTGAAGGATAAGATCTTTGTTTACTTAGATGATCTCCTAGTTGTGTCAAGTGATTTCGAAAGCCATATGGAATTGTTAAAAGTAGTAGGAGAAAGACTAACAGCAGCAGGATTGACAATTAACATGGAAAAGTCTAAATTTTGTCACAAGGAATTAAAATACCTAGGTTATATCGTTGGTGGAGGAACATTAAAACCAGATAGAGGCAAAATCGAAGCTATCCTAAACATAAATCCGCCAAAGAGCGCTAAAGATGTGAGAAAATTCCTGGGTACAGTAGGTTGGTACCGTAGATTCTTGCATGATTTCTCTACAATTACAGCACCATTAACGGATACACTTAAAAAGTCAACGAAGTTTGTATTAACCCCAGAAGCTAGCAAATCTTTCGAAGATCTAAAACAACGCTTGGTATCTAGTCCAATACTATCAAGCCCAGATTTCGAAAAACATTTCTATGTTCAATGCGACGCTTCTAATGTTGGAATAGGAGCAGTATTATTTCAGAAGGATGAAAATGAAGGAGAACATCCAATTGAGTATTTTTCAAAGAAACTCAACAGTGCTCAAAAGAACTATTCGACAACAGAAAAAGAGTGTTTAGCTGTCGTGTTGGCTATCGAAAAGTTTCGACAATATATTGAGTTAATGGACTTCACAGTCATAACAGACCACTCATCATTAAAATGGCTAATGAGACAACAAGATCTCAATGGACGACTAGCCAGGTGGAGCTTGAAACTCCAAGGATTTAAGTTCAACATTGAGCACCGAAAAGGTAGTAAAAACGTCGTACCTGACATGTTGTCTAGACTCGATATGGAGGAAATACAATTGCAACAAACTAATGTGAACAAAATATCAGAATCAAATATCAGAAGCATAAATGACAAATATCTGAAATGTTTTATATTTAAGTATATTGCCAATAATTCACGGTCAAAAGTACTATATTTTGTCTCACTAGGAGTTAATTTTTTAGAAAACAATGCTAACGGCTCTGAAATTCCCTTATGAACTTGTTGTAAGACATCACCTAGGCTACCTTTGAAGGATCTACAGTTAATATTAAATTTGCTTCATTGTTGAAATGATTCAACAAAACCCGAGATGCAAATGATTACTTTCTCTTCAGATGGTCTTATACCAGCATTCGAGATGTTGTGACCTAAAAAATCTATATTTGAAACACCAAATGTACACTTCCCTGGTTTGATATTCAACCCATATTCTTCTAATCGTTGAAAAACTTTTTCCAAGTGATATAAATGTTGTTCATTGTCTTCACTATATATAAGAATATCATCGATATACTCAAACACAAAATCTAAACCCGTAAAAACTTCATTTATAAATCTTTGAAATGTCTGTGCAAAATTTCGTAAACCAAATGGCATACGTTGGAAATCAAACATTCTGAATGGAGTTGTAATTGCCGTCTTAAATATATCTACTAAATCAATTTAAAAAAATATATTTTTATCTTTTATGTTGTGACGGTCACTTGTTTTTTTTATTTTCTTTCTCTTTATTAATTTTAAATTAAATACATTTTGAATTTTAATTCAAAACTTTTGCAACTTCATTGCAAGCTTGCCATTTCCATTTTAATTGTTTTTGTTGTGATTATCATTTTTCGTAATTGTGAAGATGTAATCATTGCTCCTTGACACCAGAGGGCGTCAGCTTAGGGGTATGCAGGCTTTGAAATCACAATAGCCATACAGTTTATGTCCAAATATGAGGACAAATGAAAATGACCTTAAGTTGATATTGACATTCCGATCAAAAACAACAAATATATTGATTTTTAACGATTGTATTAATTCTCTATGACAAAAAAAAACGTATGATCAGCCCAACGATAGCTTACACATAGCTTATCGATCAAAGATCAATATAACTCCAGCAAAGCAAGTCGTAGTGATGAAGTGAATTACTTAAAATATTGCAAATGTTTGAAAATTTAAATAAATTATTGAAAATTTAAATAAAGTATTGAAAGTTTAAATAAATTATTAAAAAATTCTTATCTAAACTAGTGATCGCATGTTAAATATTTTCCTGAAAATTGTAACCTGATTTATGATTATAAATTATAATTATTTCAAATTATTTATATGCAAAGAAAGGTAAGGATTTTACAAAAAAAAAAAAAATAGTGATTTTTATGGAACTATTATCCTAATAATACCTATAATTTTATACTTAATCTTATTTGTCATTTATTTAAAATTTAAAACAAAATTAAATCAGATTTTGTATGAAATTGTGGTTTACTAGTATAAATGTTCCAGAATTATTATATATAATGTAATTAAGATTTATTCGACAAGATTAGAAGTTAATTACAATATCTTAATACGATTTTTTTTAAAATTCCGTGTAGTTAAGTGAAAAGTCATATAGTTGATTTTTTTTTGTTATCAATAGAAAAGAAATAAATCGGAAGTCAAAATCAACGCCATCTATTGAGGAAAAAGTGAACTGCGGTATTTTAGCGAGGACATACGTACATGGTTTGGGATATTTGAAGTACCAAGCTATACAGTACTATAGCCCGAAAAGTTAAACAAAACCAGGTCTGGGTAAGCCGATGTATACGGTGAATTAGGTTAAGTTTCAAAATTTTACCAACTATAATTAAGAAAATAATCGCACTTAGCTGAGTCGGAAAAAGTAAGCAGATATATATCCCATTAGATCAAATTAACCTTAACCTCTAATCGACCTTGACGTGACCTTATACTTAATGTCTTTATGTAATGTTTGCCCGTCATTATGTAATATATGTTTCACAAGAACACATCCGAAAAGAAAATTATAAACTGAAATAATTAAAAATCGTTAAGAAAACTTAACATCAATTAAAACTTTTATCTAATTTCCCTTTTTTTTTTTTTGTTAAATTTCGTTTTTTTTTGTTTAAACTAATATCTAACTAAATTTAAATAAACTTATTATTACATTATCCATTATATTATATTATATGGCAAATCATCTAAAAGTTAAAATTTAAGAAAAGAAAGATAACTTTGAGCTATTACGTTATTGTATTTCATTTGTAAAATAATAATTGAATTAAGATTATAATTTTCCTTAAAATACTCTCTTGATTCAATAATTATTTTACAAAAACAAATACATATTTTAATTTGAGATCATTATAACTAAGTCCAAGATTAATACATTTTAAGTACTATAAATAAATATAATAACAATACTAATAATAATAATAATAATAATACAAATGATAGTATAAATAATATTAATAATACTAACAACGAAATAAATAAATAAATAATATATAATTTATAAATAACTAAATATAATTTCGATTTATTTAATTGATCAATTAACAAAAATCGTCCATACTTAAGTGTTTAAAAGAATAAAAGTAAAATAATATATACACTTAAAATTTATTTAAATATTTATTGAACATTAATTTGAATCTAAATTAATATAAGTTAACATTATAAACATATATTAAATATACATACAAATATGTGTATTGATTCTTTAATGACTAAGAGTTCAATAAATATTTAAACAAACAGAAAACTAAATATAATAAAACTAAATATAATAAAATAAAAAAAATATATATATATGGATAATTAAACGCTAATAAAATAAAACCATAAAAGTAGAAAAATCATCAGTAATAATAAAACAAAATAACTGAATAAAAGTATAAATTATTTCAGATTATAGATATATACACAAACATTTTTGTAAATATACTTATAAATAACTGATAAATTAAAATCAAATCTCAATATAATATATATGTTTAAACCATTACATTTTTTTTTATGTTATTTTATTTATTAATAAGAAAATCTTTAATGTTATAATTTTTCATGTTTGTTAATTCATATTTTTTTTAGTAATAATTTTCTATATCATATTGTGTAAATTTATCATCGGTATTAAAACTCATTTATATTATTAGTTTAATATTAAATAAAAACCATGTTATATATACATTTTAATGAAATTTGAAAAGATTTAAGTTTATCAACATGGAAGAGTAAAAACAAACAAAAGGTAATGGTGTGAATCAGATGAAGGTGATGTGAGTTTATATAAGGGGCTTCTAGAATAGAGAGGAAAGGTGACCAGAAGCCAAGGATGGCTGGAACAATGCCATATTAGGGGTGGGCAACCTACGAAGACAATTTCAGCTCTGTCTTCTAAACCTAGCTTTCATTAGCATATGGAATAATAATATCTGTTGCAATTCCGTCCGCTACATCAGGTAATACTATTCCCAGTCTATTGTCCAATGTTTTATGTAAACCCCAGGCACGAATCTTTTTTTTTTAAATGTGCATGAACCTAGTGGAAAGAACCACTCCCAATCCGACGAGCTCAAGCCGTGCTAAGACCAGCGTGCCATATTCCACTACGATAACGGTTCATCACATTTTGGCGCCCAACGTGGGGGCATTTTGTGAAAAAAAAATGCCATACACCTCAATACTTAAAACTTTAGGAAAAAATCGCATGTCCCGGAAGATGTTGAACCTACTACATCATGCCTGTGTTGCGGCGTTCTTATCCGAAAAGTTTTGGAATATTGAAGGACAATTTGGATCAAACCGATTTGCAACTTTGTAGTAAGTCATAAACATTATGACTAATAAAGTCAGTTGTTTATTTGCGACTCCAATAGTTCCAATGAGATGCGATCTAATGAGTTCTATAATTGTTTGTTTTGTATTGTGCTTCGTTTCAGTTTTCGTCCGCGCAAATATAAACAGATAATGAACACCATTTGATATATGCGAAATTTTATTTAGTTTTCCAAGAAGAAAACGAAAATTTTGAAAATTTTATTGAGACAAATAGGAAATTAGATTACATTGCATTTATCTTATGATTAACATCATGGAAACTTAGAATGTATTGGAATTCTTAATTATATTTGTTGATATGGAGGTTAGAGAATATTACAAACCCTTACATCCTTAGATGATTCGCACCAAACCTGAAAATAAAGAATAAAAAGAATAGAACAATTAAGTAAAACATTTATTATAATTATAAAAATAAAATAAAATATCTGTATATATCTAAATTAACTTATATATTTAACATAATTCTTACTAAAATTTATGTAGTTTTGGTTTTATTTGTGTATTATATATATATGCCTTATCTAACATTCTAAAACGATAATATTATTATTCCGAACAGAAACAACTGGACACTTATGGACATACTTATACAACATTAATTTACGACCATTTAAATATTTTTAAGAAAATACTATTCTGTCTAACATAGGTTGAATATTATTATTATCAAATCGCGTTTAGTTCTTAAGTCTTTTGTTTTTGTTTAATTATCTTCACAGAACAAACAAAACGTTTTTTTTTAAAACAAAGTTTTAGCTCATTAATGGTTAATTTGCTTGGATACATAATAGTTCAGATTCAAAAGATAAGTTTAAGTGCATTTCTACCGTTTTTGTCGTTATACTACTTTTAGGTACTAACAGTTTAGAGTTTAATTTTTTTGTTTCGATTAAATCTACATTTAAAATGGAAGAAGGTCGAGTTTTAAGGTCTAAAAATAAGAACCATGGTCAAAGTAGATCAACGCCTGCTGCAACAACAACAACAACTAATCCCCATACGGTCACTACTACAACAATGACAACTAATACCATTCCGACACTAATGTCGTTAGCGTTTCCACAAATACCTGTAACATATCAACAAAGGACGACACCAACAGACACAGACGGAACTATAACGTCACCCCCATTTAGTTCACAGTTCGCGCAAGAAATTAGGCAACAGTATAATTCCCAACGAGTGTTAGGTTTAGGTCAAAGTGTAGGAGGAGGAAATGAAACAGTAATAAACAATGATGGTCTAACTCTACGTGATTATGTCAGTGCATCTGTTGGCGCATCACAAGCTATGATTATGTCACAAGTTAAGGAAACACTCCAACAACTAGTTCCACAAATAGTAAGGGAAGTTGTACGTACAGAACGAAATTGTTCATTTGATTCAATCAACGTAACATCAAGTCAGCCAACACAGATAAGAAACTTAGGAGAACATTCTGAAAATAGGCCACAAGAGTGTTCGAATCACCAGCAGCAACACCACCAACAACCACAACCTTTTAACTTTCAACATGTTCAGTCTTATCAACGTTCAAATACTCCGCTTGAATTGGAAAAATGGGGAATAAAGTTTGATGGAAGCCGAAAATCGTTTACCGTGGAAGATTTTGTATTTAGAGTAGAATCTTTGCAATTGGATTATAATTGTCCCGTTACAACCCTAATGAAAGGCTTTCACCACCTACTAGCTGGCAACGCTTACGAATGGTTCTGGACATTCCGTCGTGAGAATCCATTTTGCGAATGGCCTCAACTAAAATATAATCTTATACGCAAGTTTAGAAGATTCGAAAGCGATTCTGAAATCCAGAGATGTATAATGGAGAGAAGACAACATCCCTCGGAGTCCTCTGAAGCATTCATTGGGGAAATTATCGCACTTAAAAATCAACTCAGTAGAAACATAAGAGAACAGGAATTAGTGAGAATAGTCAAAGATAATCTGAAAGACGGAATTTATCAACTGATATATCCCATAAATATTACCAGTTTCGATCATTTGTTGGAAGAGTGTAGGAGAGCCGAAAGAAATATTGCGAAAAGAAATAATTATCGTCCATACTCGAACAGACGTGTTAATGAAGTGGAATTTGCCGAAGTCGTGGAAACTAAAGTGAGCGATGTAGAGGCAATAAAACTAAATCCACCGAAACAGTTGATCTGCTGGAATTGTAAAATAGTTGGACACTCATTTGTAGACTGCAATTCCGAACAAAGAAATCTATTCTGCTACAAATGTGGGTTCGAGAATATGATAACTCCCAAATGTCCAAGATGCTCGGGAAACAAGTAGAAGAACATGGTGAGAACTGGGGCATCATGTTCGAGACAAAACCAGTGATAAGTACTCAAAAACAAACATCATCGAACGACCACAATGACAACGAAAACCTCATAACTAAACAGGATACGATTAATATAGCTAAGAATAATAACCAAACAACGAACAATATAGTAAAACATTTGAGTCTGAGAAGTGAACCAAGAGTGAACCTGAACAACACACCTGATCCTAGAATAACGGCCAATAAATTACAAAGCTACGAGCAACGTTTAGCAAACTATGAGAAAGTTCGTGAGAAAATATTTGAAGATTTTGTCCCGAAAACCAACGATAAAATCCACAAAACCAGAAACAGATATAAAAACAGAAAAGCTGAAAGGAAAGAAATAGCGTCAGCTCGATTAGAATTGGAAACAGACATACGACCGTACATGGACTTAGAGATTAACGGTGTAAAGTTAAAAGGTCTCATGGACAGTGGAGCCTCAATAAGCTGTCTAGGGAAAAATTGTTTAGAAAATGCTAGGAAAATGGAGTGCAAAATACTTGATTTTAAATCCTCAATCAGAACAGCTGATGGAAATGGTCATCAGATTATGGGAAAAGTTAAGGTTACAGCTAAAATAGGTTCTGAGGATAAGGAAATATTACTATACTTAGTTCCAAATTTACAACAAGAACTTATCTTAGGTTATGACTTTTGGAAACAAACTGGACTACAAATTTGTACCGGAAGTAAAATTATTAACGAAATTTCACAGGATATAGATGAAGAAAGCAAAATTCATCGATTGAATTCACATCAACTAAAAGTTTTGGAAAAAGTTAAAAGTTATTTCAAATGTTACACTAAACATGGTTTAGGAAAAACGGATTTAGAGACACATGTCATAGAAACAGGCGATGCAACACCAAAGAAGATGCGTTATTATCCCGTAAGCCCAGCAGTACAAAAATTAACATATGCAGAACTGGATAGAATGTTAGAATTGGACGTTATAGAAGTTGCTAAAGAAGCGGAATGGAACAATAGAACTACTCTGGTTATAAAACCGAATAAAAATAGGTTATGTTTGGATGCGAGAGAGCTCAACAAAGTGACTAAAAAAGACGCGTATCCGCTCCCAAACATTGATGGGTTACTTGCACGATTAGGAGACACGCACTACATATCAGCCATAGATCTAAAGGATGCATTTTGGCAGATTCCTTTAGAGGAATCAAGCCGGCCCAAAACAGCGTTTACAGTCCAAGGTAGACCACACTACCAATTTAAGGTGATGCCATTCGGTTTGTGCAACGCTGCACAACGCCTGTGCCGACTGATGGACAAAGTTGTACCATCGGAACTGAAGGATAAGATCTTTGTTTACTTAGATGATCTCCTAGTTGTGTCAAGTGATTTCGAAAGCCATATGGAATTGTTAAAAGTAGTAGGAGAAAGACTAACAGCAGCAGGATTGACAATTAACATGGAAAAGTCTAAATTTTGTCACAAGGAATTAAAATACCTAGGTTATATCGTTGGTGGAGGAACATTAAAACCAGATAGAGGCAAAATCGAAGCTATCCTAAACATAAATCCGCCAAAGAGCGCTAAAGATGTGAGAAAATTCCTGGGTACAGTAGGTTGGTACCGTAGATTCTTGCATGATTTCTCTACAATTACAGCACCATTAACGGATACACTTAAAAAGTCAACGAAGTTTGTATTAACCCCAGAAGCTAGCAAATCTTTCGAAGATCTAAAACAACGCTTGGTATCTAGTCCAATACTATCAAGCCCAGATTTCGAAAAACATTTCTATGTTCAATGCGACGCTTCTAATGTTGGAATAGGAGCAGTATTATTTCAGAAGGATGAAAATGAAGGAGAACATCCAATTGAGTATTTTTCAAAGAAACTCAACAGTGCTCAAAAGAACTATTCGACAACAGAAAAAGAGTGTTTAGCTGTCGTGTTGGCTATCGAAAAGTTTCGACAATATATTGAGTTAATGGACTTCACAGTCATAACAGACCACTCATCATTAAAATGGCTAATGAGACAACAAGATCTCAATGGACGACTAGCCAGGTGGAGCTTGAAACTCCAAGGATTTAAGTTCAACATTGAGCACCGAAAAGGTAGTAAAAACGTCGTACCTGACATGTTGTCTAGACTCGATATGGAGGAAATACAATTGCAACAAACTAAAAGCATAAATTTCAATTCGGAAGAGTTCAAAAGTCAACAATACACGACACTTATTGAAACTGTATTGCATAATCAAGAGATATTACCAGATCTGAAAGTTTTAGATAATATTATTTACAAAAAGGTGAAATTTAATCGAGAAGATGAAGATGACGGAAATAATTGCTGGAAAATATGGTTACCAGACGCCTTAACGGATGAAATTGTAAGAAAAGCACACATTAACAATACATCTCATGGAGGAACTGCGAAAACTTTATACAATGTTAGAGAATTTTTCTATTGGCCATCGATGGTGAAAGATATACGTAATTACATAAAATCTTGTGATGTCTGCAAAGAAACCAAACATCCAAAACAAACTTTAAGGCCATTGATGGGTAAGGAAGTTGTTACTGAAAGACCTTTTCAGAAAGTTTACGTAGACTTTCTGGGCCCATATCCTAGAACAAAAGCTGGTAATACTTTCATTTTTATTGTCCTAGACCACAAGACTAAATTTGTATTATTAAAAGCATTAGCCAAAGCTACAACAAAAGTTGTTAGTAAATTTCTAATAGATGAAGTGTTCTATAAATTCGGAGTTCCCGAACAACTTCATTCAGATAACGGCAAACAATTTACTTCTGAAGCTTTTAAAGAGTTAATGCAGTCTTTTGGAATCAAACATATTAGGACACCAATACATGCTCCACAAGCAAATGCAAGTGAACGGGTAAACCAATCGATCCTATCCAGTATAAGGAGTTACCTTCAGGAGGACCAATCGAGATGGGATGAAAACCTTAGTAAGATCGAGAATTCGTTAAGAACAAGTGTTCACGCATCAACAGGAGTGACACCGTACTTTGCTTTGACAGGATACAACATGATCACACATGCAGAAGCGTATGATATCATTAGGAAACTTAATTGTGTAGAAGATGGAGAAACACTAATATTACCGAGGTCTGGACAAATGCAAATATTACACCAAAAGATGAAAGACAAAATGCATGCAGCATATGAAAGAAATGCCAGAGCTTATAACAAAAGAGCTAAAATAATAAACTTCAGAGAGGGTCAAGAGGTCTATCGAAAAAACTTCATACAAAGCAATTTTTCAAAAGCATTAAATGCTAAATTATGCAAACCATGGCTAAAATGTCGAATCCGGAAGAAAATTGGACAAAACCAATATGAAGTGGAAAACCTAAAAGGGCAATTGATCGGTGTTTTTCACGCACAACACCTTAAACAATAAGTTCAATAATTGATACAACAAACTCTGATAAATGTTAAGGGAAATGTGTCTTCAATTCGAAAGTCAGATTTTTCTTTGAAAAAGTAGCTAGAATAAAATTTAGATAATTACAGTCTATAGTTTGTTAGTGATTACTTAAAATTCCAATATGAAATGCGATGAGTTGGAACTAAACTACTTAGAGATTGAAAACTTTTATCTATGTCTGACTATAAAATATAGCAGAGCTAAATGGGGTTTTATTGTTTTCAAGGCTATTTATAAAAAAACACCTAATCTAAATAAATCCTATTGATATCGAGTTTCCTTTTTTTTACGGATTAGGGATGTCAATATTACTCACCATAATTTAAACTAAACTTTTGATATACATAAATGCTTTCCATAGACAGACGTTGAAGGTTGAATATATCACGTTCTTCTTGCTTTTTGATGAACACACACAAATTGGAAACCAGTCAGACAGACATCAAACACTTGACGGAATAAAAACTAGGAAGAAAAAGGAAAAAGTCAATATTAATATATATAGTTTTGATATTGGAGGAAAATTGATATATATTGTGAGAATACTATATTAATTGATTTACGGAACCAATTTTTTTGTAATCCAACAGCACCATCGGACTGAAGTATAACAACACGGCACCTGAAAATATATAAATTAATTCATTATTTGTCGAAAAAAACAAATTTTCTAAAGTGATTGAAAACTTACCACATGTTGTTAGCCTTTTGCTTATTTTTCACGACCTTGAAATAATGTTTTTGTTTATATAAATTTCAAGTTCAAGGTTAGCATCACATTTTATCTTACCTCATTTTCGTAAACAAACCAAAACGTTCCCGGACTTCGTATAGTTCCCTACTTTTGTAGCTCCACAGGCTTTGCTACAAAAGCAGGCTTTGTGACGGTCACTTGTTTTTTTTTATTTTCTTTCTCTTTTTTAATTTTAAATTAAATACATTTTGAATTTTAATTCAAAACTTTTGCAACTTCATTGCAAGCTTGCCATTTCCATTTTAATTGTTTTTGTTGTGATTATCATTTTTCGTAATTGTGAAGATGTAATCATTGCTCCTTGACACCAGAGGGCGTCAGCTTAGGGGTATGCAGGCTTTGAAATCACAATAGCCATACAGTTTATGTCCAAATATGAGGACAAATGAAAATGACCTTAAGTTGATATTGACATTCCGATCAAAAACAACAAATATATTGATTTTTAACGATTGTATTAATTCTCTATGACAAAAAAAAAACGTATGATCAGCCCAACGATAGCTTACACATAGCTTATCGATCAAAGATCAATATAACTCCAGCAAAGCAAGTCGTAGTGATGAAGTGAATTACTTAAAATATTGCAAATGTTTGAAAATTTAAATAAATTATTGAAAATTTAAATAAAGTATTGAAAGTTTAAATAAATTATTAAAAAATTCTTATCTAAACTAGTGATCGCATGTTAAATATTTTCCTGAAAATTGTAACCTGATTTATGATTATAAATTATAATTATTTCAAATTATTTATATGCAAAGAAAGGTAAGGATTTTACAAAAAAAAAAAAATAGTGATTTTTATGGAACTATTATCCTAATAATACCTATAATTTTATACTTAATCTTATTTGTCATTTATTTAAAATTTAAAACAAAATTAAATCAGATTTTGTATGAAATTGTGGTTTACTAGTATAAATGTTCCAGAATTATTATATATAATGTAATTAAGATTTATTCGACAAGATTAGAAGTTAATTACAATATCTTAATACGATTTTTTTTAAAATTCCGTGTAGTTAAGTGAAAAGTCATATAGTTGATTTTTTTTTGTTATCAATAGAAAAGAAATAAATCGGAAGTCAAAATCAACGCCATCTATTGAGGAAAAAGTGAACTGCGGTATTTTAGCGAGGACATACGTACATGGTTTGGGATATTTGAAGTACCAAGCTATACAGTACTATAGCCCGAAAAGTTAAACAAAACCAGGTCTGGGTAAGCCGATGTATACGGTGAATTAGGTTAAGTTTCAAAATTTCACCAACTATAATTAAGAAAATAATCGCACTTAGCTGAGTCGGAAAAAGTAAGCAGATATATATCCCATTAGATCAAATTAACCTTAACCTCTAATCGACCTTGACGTGACCTTATACTTAATGTCTTTATGTAATGTTTGCCCGTCATTATGTAATATATGTTTCACAAGAACACATCCGAAAAGAAAATTATAAACTGAAATAATTAAAAATCGTTAAGAAAACTTAACATCAATTAAAACTTTTATCTAATTTCCTTTTTTTTTTTTTTTGTTAAATTTCGTTTTTTTTTTTTTTGTTTAAACTAATATCTAACTAAATTTAAATAAACTTATTATTACATTATCCATTATATTATATTATATGGCAAATCATCTAAAAGTTAAAATTTAAGAAAAGAAAGATAACTTTGAGCTATTACGTTATTGTATTTCATTTGTAAAATAATAATTGAATTAAGATTATAATTTTCCTTAAAATACTCTCTTGATTCAATAATTATTTTACAAAAACAAATACAAATTTTAATTTGAGATCATTATAACTAAGTCCAAGATTAATACATTTTAAGTACTATAAATAAATATAATAACAATACTAATAATAATAATAATAATACAAATGATAGTATAAAGAATATTAATAATACTAACAACGAAATAAATAAATAAATAATATATAATTTATAAATAACTAAATATAATTTCGATTTATTTAATTGATCAATTAACAAAAATCGTCCATACTTAAGTGTTTAAAAGAATAAAAGTAAAATAATATATACACTTAAAATTTATTTAAATATTTATTGAACATTAATTTGAATCTAAATTAATATAAGTTAACATTATAAACATATATTAAATATACATACAAATATGTGTATTGATTCTTTAATGACTAAGAGTTCAATAAATATTTAAACAAACAGAAAACTAAATATAATAAAACTAAATATAATAAAATAAAAAATATATATATATATGGATAATTAAACGCTAATAAAATAAAACCATAAAAGTAGAAAAATCATCAGTAATAATAAAACAAAATAACTGAATAAAAGTATAAATTATTTCAGATTATAGATATATACACAAACATTTTTGTAAATATACTTATAAATAACTGATAAATTAAAATCAAATCTCAATATAATATATATGTTTAAACCATTACATTTTTTTTTATGTTATTTTATTTATTAATAAGAAAATCTTTAATGTTATAATTTTTCATGTTTGTTAATTCATATTTTTTTTAGTAATAATTTTCTATATCATATTGTGTAAATTTATCATCGGTATTAAAACTCATTTATATTATTAGTTTAATATTAAATAAAAACCATGTTATATATACATTTTAATGAAATTTGAAAAGATTTAAGTTTATCAACATGGAAGAGTAAAAACAAACAAAAGGTAATGGTGTGAATCAGATGAAGGTGATGTGAGTTTATATAAGGGGCTTCTAGAATAGAGAGGAAAGGTGACCAGAAGCCAAGGATGGCTGGAACAATGCCATATTAGGGGTGGGCAACCTACGAAGACAATTTCAGCTCTGTCTTCTAAACCTAGCTTTCATTAGCATATGGAATAATAATATCTGTTGCAATTCCGTCCGCTACATCAGGTAATACTATTCCCAGTCTATTGTCCAATGTTTTATGTAAACCCCAGGCACGAATCTTTTTTTTTTAAATGTGCATGAACCTAGTGGAAAGAACCACTCCCAATCCGACGAGCTCAAGCCGTGCTAAGACCAGCGTGCCATATTCCACTACGATAACGGTTCATCACAATGTTCATATTTAAATCGTGAATATGGGGTAAGGGATATCTGTCTGGTACAGTTACTACATTCAAACGTCTAAACTCACCGCACGGGATTTGGTAGCGTTAATGCCTCAACAGATTCATGAATTCAAACACACGACAAAGATAAAAAACATTTCTGTAAGAAAAATAAACACTGACAAATTGGAATGACCTGCTCAGAGCATCGTCTTAGATCCAATAGATTATTTTTTGACCGCAATTGATCAAATATTCCGCTGAAATAGCGAACAAAAACGGATTTCTTTTGAAAATAATCGTATGGGGAAAAGCAAGGAGAAGGGAAGGCGATTGCGAACAATAATGGTAAATAAAATACAAAAATGTCTTAAGTAGATCCAGATATTCAAATCAGAATCAAAATATATAAAAAATGTTGATATACAAGAAATTTAAATAATGATATATAAAATTTACACTTTATTTTGTCCGACAAAAAAGTGAATTTACTTTAATTTTGGATGTTATACAGAAAAATTTTAAGTAAAATAATTTTATTTTATTGTTATTTTTGTAACATTGTATATTAACTAAATGATTTTGATAAATTTTTCCATATTCAAGAATCATTTAACAGATTTTTCGCTGAAATAATATAGCATGAGCACTTTTGCTCTTTATTTTGTCCGATAGTGTATGTTTGTTTGTGCAATTGTTTATTTCCATATAGGTGGCTATTGTCTTGAAGGATCAGTCACGAGAGATTGGATGAACCGAATTTCCACAAATCTACAAATCCGATACTCCCAATACCATTCAACGAGAAATAGCCAGGTAATTATACCCTACACCACTATAGTGGGGAGGGTATTATGCGTTTGTTCTGATGTTTGTAACACCCAAAAATATTGGTCTTACACCCACCTTAAAGTATACCAATCGGCTCAGAATCACTTCCTGAGTCGATTAAGCTATGTCCGTCCGTCTGTCTGTCTGTGTGTCCATGTAAACCTTGTGCGCACTCTACAGGTCGCAATTTTTGAGATAATTTGATGAAATTTGGAACATGCACTTCTCTTGGTCGAGGACGCTATTGAAAATGGTTGAAATCGGTCCATTATTTCACCTAGCCCCCATACAACCGGACCCCCCGAATAGGGCTTTTGACCTGATAATTATGTTAAATGATCCACTATATCTACAAAAATGGGACAAATTTAGTTTTATATATGTCTTAATAATTATAGTGATTTTCGTAAAGATCGGGCATTATTTGACCCTAGCCCCCCTACAAAGTCCCCCTCAGAAAATTACTTGAATGTTCACAATTCACTTATAAACACTAGTATCACGATGAAATTTGGCACAAATGAGTTTTATATAAACATAATTCCCAACAATAAATTTTATAGGGATCGGACCAAGTTTTACCCTAGCCCCCATATAACCGGACCTTCCGATTTGGGCCTTTTAGCTCATAACTTTGTCAAATATACTACTATCTCTCCAAAAATCGGCACAACTAAGTTTGATATAATTATAAATAACACTGTCGATTTTTATAATGATCGGGCATTATTTGACCCTATCCCCCATACAAAATTCCCTTCAGAAAATGACTTGAATGTCCACAATTCACTTATAAACACTAGTATCATGATAATATTTGCCACAAATAGATTTTTGCCCTAGCCCCCATACAACCGGACCTACCGATTTGGGCCTTTTAGCTCATAACTACTATAAAAATTGGAACAACTAAGTTTAATATAATTATAAATAACACTGTCATTTTTCGCCATGATCGGAAATAAAAAGTAGCCTATTGCCAGACATACAGGAATGTGCTGTGAAAATTTAAAGAAAATCGGTTTAACCGTTTAGTAGTCTATAACGTTCAAACATACAAACATATAAACCCACAAACAAACAAACAT